TCACCCAGATGACTATTGTTGTGTTGACTGTTTTAATTTTTTTTATTTGACAGTCTAACAGAAAAAGAGGTCAGTGCTCCTAATAGTTGCAAATTTTAATAATTCTTGTGACTCGCTGGTTGAAAATTGCTGTTATATCACATTGTACTTATCCATTCATCATGGACATACAGTTGCTTCCACTTTGGGGCAATCCTATATAATAAAAGTCTAAATATGCTAAGTGTCCAACTGTTGGACTGGTTGCTATGACACATGCTGACCACTAGGGGACAGATGCTCCTACTGGTAGGTTAGCTTGCTGCTTGGATCTGGCTAATTGGAACTGGGCAAGACGGCCAGACACACCCTGGAGCCCTCCCACAGTCCATCCCCAGCCCCGATCATTCATGGGTGCAAGGGACCCCACTGGTGCACAAATCCATGCACCAGGCCTCTAGTTATGAATAATGTTGCGATGAACATACATGTATAAATTTTGTGTGATGTATATTTTGATTTATGTTGGGTATATATCTAAGAGTAAAATTGCCAGTTGAATGCATTTGATCTTACTGTTTTCCTGGTTAAGACTTTTGCCATTGTATTTTCTTTTATGAGAGAGAGAGAGAAAGAGAGAGAGAGAGAGAGAGTGAGAGACTATAGTTTAGGTGTCTTGTCTGAACTTATTATTATTTTTTTGGGGGGGGTATATTTATTAAAGCTGAAGACAGTGAAACAAAGAAGGGCCTAGGAGAGAAGAAGCAGCAGGAGAGAGAGACTAGGCAGGGTTGCTTTGGCTTCCTAGAAATGTTATGGGAAAGAAGTGAGCCAAGGTGGGGCCACTGTTGGCTCACTGGAGAGTCAGAAAAAAAGGGGCCTTAGGAACAGGTTTAGGGGATTAGCCTGGAAAGAGCTGCTGCTGCCCATTGCTCCCCCTGGTTGTAAGTCTCAGGAGGTCCCTTAGAGTTTAGGAGATGTGAGCCTGTGGGGGAAGCAGAACGGGGAGAGAAAGGCATGGGCGTGCTCCCCAAGGGAGAACTCACATCTTGCCTAAAGTTCTTGAGGGCATGGCAGAATTAAATGATCTTAGGATTGCAGTGATGGTATCAAAGTGTTTGGGTCAAGATATCCCACAAAGAAAAAGCTTACTGGCAGAAAGGTCTAGCCTGAGTTGAGCTGTACTAGTATACTTGAAGAGGAGGAGAAAGAAGATAGCATTCTATCAAGGTCAATAAGAGAAGCAAAGGGTTGGTGATTGGGCTGAGTATGGAGTACAAAGGGGGTTAAGTAGGAGGTAGGGGAGGGTGAGGCTGGAACGACCTGTTGGGAATCATAACCTCAAGTGTTAAATGACTAAATTTAATATATATATATATATATATTTTTAATTGATTTTTTACAGAGAGGAAGGGAGAGGAATTGAGAGTTAGAAACATCGGTGAGAGAGAATCATCGATCAGCTGCCTCTTGCACACCCTTTATTGGGGATGTGCCCTCAACCACCGTACATGCCCTTGACCGGAATTGAACCTGGGACCTTTCAGTCCGAAGGTCTACCGAGCCAAATCGGTTTTGGCAGGTCTAAATTTTTTATAGATTTGGGGGAGCCATTGGAGACTGTGGTCTAGGGACATTAGTCACTTAATCAGATCAAATGGGCATGATCATAGCAAAGACTGGCAGTGTAAACAAGATGGACCTAAGTGGGGAGAGGCCTGAGGTAGCTAGCCCCTATTCTTAGGAAGCTATCATAGCAATTTAGTGCTGAAGCAAAAGCATTAGGATAGCCAGCTGGAATTCAGTGACTTAAATGTTGCTTCAGTGGGCAAAAGTGTCATTCATCATGGGGCTGGCTCCCCAAAGGACCTATGCTTATGGGCAGGGAACTCATCATTTTGCTATTATAAAAATTGATTAGGTCATTCAGAGTGGAAATTGATGCCAGAGGTTTGACGTTAGTCAGGCTAGAATAACAAGCTGGGGAATGAGGAAGGCCCCTGCCAAATGGGCAAGGTGCTGGTCTGGAGGCACAGAGCACTGCAGGGAAGCACTCTGTCCCTGCTCTGGGAGTCTGGGAGGTCTGACAGTGTCTTTCAGCTGCACCAGGGACTCCAGGGCAAGCTTCTGGAGTGACATTTCTAAGGGCTTCTGTCAGAGCTTGGCCAGTCAAGTGGAATCTGGCCTCGGAGGTTCATGTCTGGGCCATCCTCCTTGCCTGAAGGAGCTTGTAAAGATGGGGGTATGCATGGATAGGGGAACTGGCTGGGATGATACCAATAAGGAGCCTAGGGGAGCCAAAGTCTTGGTTTGGGGGATAGATAGATAGATAGATAGATAGATAGATAGATGTTGAAGACTGAAATACATTTTGCCAACAGTAACAATAGTCTGCTGCAGTGGCAATAATGTGTGCTTGTATAAGGCTCCCACCACCGATGAGATGTTTTCCCCCACTCACACAAAGGTTCCTCTGCCCCTAAGAAAATCATTGCAAAACTAGCCGCATGCCAGCAGTGCCAAGGTGCCTGGTTGTGACGATGGTGATGGTGAAGTCTCTCCCTATCGGTCCCCTCCCTAACTCAGGAGCAGTTGGCTCGATCTACACACTGGAAACATTTCTAGGATGATCCAAGACGCCAGTGTGTCCTGATTTGGAAAAAAAAAAATCATCGTTCCAAGTCAGATGCCTTTCAGCTTCCAGACAGCTCCTTCTCCCTCTGCCCCCCTGTAACCACTTGGGGCATGGGGTCAGAGGATGGTGGGGCCACTGTGAGCACCCTGATCCTTAGGGGACTGACACTATTGCCAGTCTGGGGCAACCTTACCTTGAGTGTGTTTTAGGGTGGAGACCAGACAGCCAGGTATTTGGAGTGGTGGGTCAGGTGTGCACTTTGCCACAGTTCACCCACCTAGGGTATCTAAGCAGCCACCATTATTACCTTTTTGTGTTTGTTAATCCTCACCCAAGCATTTCCACTGATTTTCAGAGAGAGTGGAAGGGAGGGGGTGGGGGAGAGAGAGAAACATCAGTCGGAGAGAGACACTTCCATTGGTTGCCTCCCACGTGAGCCCCAACCAGAGCCAGGGATGGAGCCTGCAACGGAGGTTCCTGACCTTGACCAGAATGGAACCCAGGACCCTTCAGCCCGTGGGCGAGCTCTATCCACTGAACCAAACCAGGGAGGGCACCATTATTATCTTTCATCTTCTGTCATCTGTGTCGTCTCATCGTCATCAGGGTCTCCCTCTCTTGTGGAAGGGGAGAATGGACAGAAAAGGGGTGTTCCTCACCACAGAACTTTGTGACCCAGCCTGCAACCCACGGGCAGAGAACTCTTGCAAAAATAGCAAAGAGTGCCCTCGTTTCTCCAGTAGCCGCAGGGCAGATGGGGCGATGACGTCCCCCCTCCCCCAGAGTACACCCCTCACCTACAGGCACGGGGTGAAGGGGGAGGGGCAGTCAATGAGTTCTCTGCACACCTCCTCTAACGCCCTGCCGCAGCCAGGTTCTTATCCAGGCTCTCGACCCTGGGCTGTTGGGTCCCTGGAGCTGGGTCGGGAGAGGAGGTCCAAGCAACAAGAGAGGAGGTCTAAACTCGGTGCTGAGGCTGAGAAGCCTGGACGCTTCCTCCTTCTCCCGTGGCACTTGGGTCCCCTATTCATGTTGGACTCCAACCCTGTCTCCAGTGCTCAGCATCCCCGCCCTGTCAGCACGCTGCATCAGTGACCGCGCCTGCCCCCGATGGGGGAGAGATAAGAGGTAAAAAGGAAGAGAGAGCGTTTGGGGAAAACACAGCGCAGCAGGGTGACCGGCCTCTCCCCGCACCGCGGGTCTCTGCAGCCCGGGAGCCGCCGCCCGCGGCTGCGGCACCGATGCGCTGTCCGCGGTGCTGACGGTGCTGACGCGGGCCGCCCCGCTCCGTGGAGAGGGGGGGAGGCGATGCCCTCATTCCTCCGTCGCCCCAACTCCTCCCCAAACGGGATCGTTTCCCCCGAAAGGAACCCGCCGAGACCTGGCACTGCGTATGGATCCAGGGAGCAGAAGCGAGCGAGAGGAAACTTAAAACTTCGGACTGGAGCCCGAGAGACGCGGTATGAGGAGACTTTGTGTCTTGGGGCCCCCAGCCCCTGAGGCCGCAGGGTATCATCCCATGGAGCAAAGTTTGGCCGCAGCTTGGGGATCAGGGAGGGATTCTGGAGCCGAAGCGCCCCCACGGCGGGGTGGCAGCAAGCGCCGCAGTCTCGACACCTGCTCTGATGCCCCGCGTTAGTGCCGCCGCCGGAGCGACAGGGAGGCGGGAGGCAGCGCTGCAGCACAACTCCCCACCCCTTTCCTCTCTTCCCTACTCCCCCACCCCACCCGCACCCCAACACCCGCCCCAGGCGCTGGTGACTCCGCCTCTCCGTGCTGGGCGGCTCTCTGGCTGGAGCTGGAAAGGAAGGGAGCGCTTCCCCAGGACTGAGCTCGGAGCTGAGGCTGAGAAGCGGACGCCGCGAGCTCAGACCCCGGGGGCGGCAGCTGGACGGGGCCGGGAACGCCGGATGGGACGCCCCCAAGGGTTCGGTGCGCGCCCCGTTGCCAAGCCCCAGTCCTAGGCGCCCGGGCGCCCAGCCCGCCCCGCCGCAGCCCGCGGTCTGACCGGAGGGGAGCATGCGGCCCCGGGCCCCGCGGACCCCGGCCACAGGGCGGCGGGGACCCAGCTGCAGCGCCCCGCGCCCGAGGGCGGCGGCTGGTGAGGAACCGCGGGGGCCAGCGAGTCGTCGGGGCAAGGACACCAGTGCCGCCCCAGCCCGGGCTCCGGAAGGGCCGCGGGACCCGTGCGCGGCGGCCTGAGCGCCGAGGAGGAGGAGGAGGAGGCGGAGGCGCCCGCCGTCCGTCCAGGCTCTGGAGAGACTGTGAGGGGCTCCGCAGCAGCCCCGGACCCCCGGCCACCATCCTCACGTTTCTGCTCCCGCGGGGGGGATGCCGCGGCCCGGGCCCCGAGCACCGCCCCGGCCCCGGGGCTGAGCTGCGGACCATGTCCTCCCGCAGCCCCCGGCCCCCGCCCCGCCGCTGCCGCCGCCGCCTGCCGCGTCCCTCCTCCTCCTGCTGCTGCTGCTGCTGCCGCCGCTCGCACCTCAACGAGGACACGGGGCGCTTCGTGCTGCTGGCGGCGCTCATCGGCCTCTACCTGGTGGCGGGCGCCACGGTCTTCTCGGCGCTGGAGAGCCCCGGCGAGGCGGAGGCGCGGGCGCGCTGGGGCGCCACCCTGCGCAACTTCAGCGCGGCGCACGGGGTGGCGGAGCCCGAGCTGCGCGCCTTCCTCCGGCACTACGAGGCCGCGCTGGCCGCCGGCGTCCGCGCCGACGCGCTGCGCCCGCGCTGGGACTTCCCCGGCGCCTTCTACTTCGTGGGCACCGTGGTCTCCACTATAGGTGAGCTGCGCGCCCCGCGCGTTTCTTCCCCGCGCCTTGCACCCCAGGCTGCCCTTTCCGCTGCCGGGCGGCCGAGCCCGCGTCCATCAGCTAGCTACCCCGGCTCCTCCAGTGCCCCCCTGCCTACTTTCTTCTCGCCCTCTCCTCTCCGCCCGGTCCTCCGCTCTCTCTCTTAACTGGGGTTTGGTGCGGGAGGCCCATCCCTGGGCTTACCCAGCGAAGACTCGCCTGACAGCGTGGCCGGATGGGGTGGAACCCTCACCCGGGAGGTGGCAGAACCCAGGGCCGCCTGCGCTCCAGCACCTGCCAGCTCCATGCATGAACCTCTGTGCGACTGACTCCGTTTTTCCTCTAGAAAGGACTTGGGTGCACATGGGCCTTCTGCTTCCTTTCTAGTTCTTCCTCTCCCTCCTCCCCCCTCGGCCTCAGTTTCCTCCTATAGATAGTTTGGAAAGCCCTTTCTCTCCACTCACAGCGTTTTACTCTCCTCTTATCTCCCCCCACCCTTTCCCCCACTCATTGTCCTCGCAGCATCCTCTAAGCCCTTTAACCAGAGGAATGCAATCACTCTTCCCAGAATCTCTTTCATGGATCCCCTTCCCGCCTGCTTTTCCTGGAGTTCTCACTGCCCTCTCCTCCCAGAAAAGCTGGCGGCTTGGAGGCCCGACTTCAGCCGCTCTTGTTCAGGGCCACCCTTGGTTTTCCCTCCCTCCTCTACACGCCCTCCCCCCCACCCCAGCTTTCCCTCCAATTTCTCGACTTCTCTTCTGTGTTACCTTGTCATTTTTCCAATCAATAGTGGCATCAAGGGGTAACTTGAGCAGTGTGGGGGTTGTATCTCTATACTTTCCATCGTGCCTTCTCTCTCTCTTTTTTCTTTTTTTTAAATATATATTTTATTGATTTTTTACAGAGAGGAAGGGATAGGGATAGAGAGTTAAAAACATCATGATAGAGAAACATCCATCAGCTGCTTCTTGCACCCCCTCCCCCCCCGCCCCACTGGGGATGTGCCTGCAAACAAGGTTTATGCCCTTGACCGGAATTGAACCCGGGACCCTTGAGTCCGCAGGCCGATGCTCTATGCACTGAGCCAAACCAGTTAAGTCTCAGTCTCTCTCATTCTCTCTCTCTCTCTCTCTCTCTCTCTCTCTCTCTCTCTCTCTCTTATATATTTTTATTGATTTCAGAGAGGGAGAGATAGAAACATCAATGATGAGAGAGACTCATTGATTGCCTGCCTCCTGCATGCCCCACACTGGAGATCAAGCCCGCAACCCAGGCATGTGCCCTGACTGGGAATCAAACCTGGTTCATAGGTTGAGGCTCAGCCACTGAGCCGTGCTGGCCAGGCTCCTTCTTTCTTTTTGGTATAAACAGCTCATAATTTCACATCCTTACAAAAAATGTTTTGCAAGTACTCCTTGAGGCCCCCTACTTTTCCCACCTCCCCCCTCCTCTGAGCTTCTTCCATGGAGATCCAGGAGCCACCACCGCTCCCCACTCCACCCCACCCTCTCTTTTCCTTTTATGCACTTTCCCCATTTCCCCCCTCTCCCTGGCCCCTGAGTGTCGCATGAGACAGACTCCTTTCCAGCAGGGTGCAGAATTAACCCAAGCTTTCCATTTTGGCCGAATTGTGTGTGTGTCCAATCCACTCTTGCTTGGAATCCCCAAGTAGGAGAAGGCACCGGGCTGTTGAACCTCTAGTAGTTTTGGGGGAGGGGGCTGGACTCACTGGGCTGAGAAGTGAGGGAAATCATAGTCACGCCTTCCATGGGTGGGTTCTGGTCTGGCTTGGTATGCCAGCCTAGGCTCAGGGTCACGGACTAACTGACCAGCATAAGCCATCACAGACGGCTGCTGGGAGGCAGAAAGACGGCATCCATGCGCAGGATGTGAGCAGCTGGAGATGTCTCGCTCAGTGTGTTTGTATCGTTTACTAAAGGGCTTCCTTTCCTTCAATGATTTTTCATGTGTCATGCTTGATCTGATTATTTTAAACCAAAAAAAGGCAAATATGGCCCAATTCAAATGCACAAATTGGATAAAAATACCCCTTAAAGGCCATATCATGTTGTTATGGTGATTGAAGATATGAAATGACCCCCTCAAAAAAAAATCCCATTTGAAGAGCTGCATCAAGTTGCTATAGCAACGAGAGTGCTTTAAAAGTACTAAGGATGCTTAGTCCTGAAGGATGACATCATGTGTTCATAGCTCATTATTGATTTGTGCGCCTCCTTTTGCAAACACACCCTTTGGCTCTCTTCCACCTAGACACACACCTGTGCACATATGGGGAGGCCACAGCATTTCTCTCCCAGTGACAAAGGAAATGGTGTTAGCAGGATCCTCTTCCTCTGTGGGCTGTGAGCTCATACAGATCGGGCCCCGTTCCTGGGACCTGCTGTCTCCTGGCTTCTCTGATAAGCTCCCATCCATTTTTTCATTCACGGCCCAGCCACAGCTTCTAAAGCTTCTCTCAGGCTTTTTGCACACAAAAACCAAGTCGGTGTTTTGGCAAATGGTTCCAAGCCCCAGCCTCTAATCTACTGGCAGGAATGGCTGTTCTTCAGTCAGGTGGAAAAGACCTATGTCCTCTTTCTTGATTTGTGTTTTTTTTTTTGGATGTAGGCAAGTAGTGTAGGAGGGCTACACTGAAGCGCGTGGCTGTGTTACGAATGATCCAGCTTTGTTTTCCAAAATCTGCTCCAGGAAAACATTCATCTCTGAGAGGAGCTGCACTCAGGGACCAGAACCAGCCCGGGGACAGCTCAGCATTGCACGAGCTCCTTGCAGGGGCTGCCAAGATTAGCAGCATCAGTAGCATGATCTGTTGCAGTGGTCAGACAAGTTCTGCTGAATCCCAAAGTAGTGTGACTGTCACTTCAGCCTTCTCTTGCAAAATGAACTTGGATGCGATTTAAGTAAAGACCTACTTATGTACACAGTGATTGTCTTTCTGCTCATATCCTTCCTTCCCCTTAAATGCCCTGAGTCTTCAGAGACGATGATTACTATTACTGCTGCTTTTATGGATTCAGCAGCTCAGGGAGCCAAAAGTCAGTCCAAAATAGGCACCAGGACTCTCTGTCTGCTACCTTGTCCAGGGAAGAGAGAAATTAGCATGTACTCAGTTTTATGTGATTAGCAACTATCACAGCATGAATGGTCCGTGTAGCCGTGTGAACATTTTGAGTGTGCGCTGTGCAGACCCAGCTAACTGATTCATCTAGACTTTAGTACAGAAAAACCCTTCCTTCATTCATTACATAAACATGATGCATTGTGTATGTCAGACCTGGTGCTATGTTGTGAATAATTAAAGCTTACTCTACAAGGCAAAGGTGAAAGCATATTCCAACATGGGCCACTGGAAAGATGATTAGAACAAGGAGGGGACCTTTGGTCCAGTCCCATGTAGTTCAGAATGTTAGGGCACTTGTCTCAGATCACAGTTAATTGTGTGTTCAGCTGGGTCCAGAATCCAAGTTATATAGTGTTTGTTCTATCAATTGCATACATATCATTGGGTTGCATGTTCTTGTTTGAGACTGAAGTATTTAATAATGGATGTGTGGCCCTGGCCAGTGTGGTTCCATGGTTAGAGTGTTGACTCTGGGCACTGAGAGATCACGGGTTTGATTCCCAATCAAGGGCATGTACCTGGATTACAGGTTCGATCCCCAGCCCCAGTTAGGGCATGTGCAGAAGGCAACCAATTTCTCACCTCTCTCTCTCTCTCTCTCTCTCTCTCTCTCTCTCTCTCTCTCTCCTCATCTTTCCCTCCCTTTCACTTTCTCTAAAATCAATGGAGAAAATATCCTTATACGAGGATTAGCAACAACAATAAAAATAATGGGTGATAATGGGTGTGCGTGTGGGGGGGTGCTCTTTCTCAGGGCAGGGCTGGGCAGGAGGATGCATTGTTGATCAGGCTGCTAATTAATTAAGTCCAGAGAAAACTTGTAGAAACAGGCTTATCTTAAAGGTCAGTCTGACTAGAAGCATCTGGCCGATCTTAGACAGCTGGGAAGGCAAGATCCAACCGAAAAGGTCATCAGAGACTGCAATGCTAGCAAGTGGAAAACAGTCTAGTAAACTCTGGTCCAAGGACAGAAGCCACTTGCTCTCAGTGTGTATGTGTGTGTGTGTGTGTGTGTGTGTGTGTGTGTGTGTGTGTGTGTGTGTTTAGGGGCAGAAATGGACCTTCGGGTAGAAAGAGACATAGAAGGAAAGTTCAGGTGTGGCTGTATGTATCGAGAGCTAAATGAAATATCATGATGAGATGGAATGTTTGTCCTGGCATTTGGTGTGAACAGAGCCTCATATCCAGAGCTGGGCAGCTTGAAACTGTGTGAACACAAATGTGTGTCCACAGAGCATTGACCCCGTGAGGAAATTTGCCTGTGATTGTTCAACAGTCACTGAGGCTGTATAGCTCAAGCAAATAAAATCCAATTTTGTGGTCTAAATTACTCATATTGATTGCTTATACTGAACTGAACCCTAGGAAATTATTATTTATCCCACTTAATGTTATGCCACATATTCCGAAGGGGTTGAAATCGAGTTTGTTTTCATGTGAATGTGTCCACTTATTCACCCCTCCATTTAACAAAGTAACTCATCACAGATGCACATGTGGCTGTTGGCATGTCATTACCTGCATGCCCCGTGACTACATGAACTCCTGAAGATAAAGATGGTGGCTTGTATCTTCTCAGTAGTAAGCAATATTCTTGGAGGCAGTGCTCTAGCTTAAAGATATTTAAACAATTCAAAGAGTATTAATCCATCACTTGACATCCTAAAGGATGTTTTATTGGTTTACTTTGAAAAGATTAAAAGGAAACTCTCCAGTGGGGTTTTAATTATGCAACTGCTGTCAGATTTACACATCGGGAGGAACATATTTGAAAGTCTTTCTCAAATGGCAGCTTGATATAAACAGAAACCTTTTTGCTTCCTTTTATTAGGTTTCCTGGCAGCATGTC